TCTCATGTCTCATTTGTTATCAACCTATACTCCATAATTATACCCCAATAGAAATTATCCTCTCTAAGACCTTAGGTTTCTCTTGCGCGTCGCTTGGGCATCCAATACGTTTGGAATTCAATAGGAAGAGAAGGTTAACTATTGCTCTAAGCTTCATGGCACGATCTAGAGTAGAAAGAAATGAGACAATCCTGGATATCTTGGTAGTTAACCGTTTATATGAGTGGCCGGCACACACATATAAAGGAAACTCTACCGGACACGGCTTCATAGACTCCCCAGGACACTTGAACCTAGTGCTCTGATACCAAGCTTTGTCACGCCCCGAACCTGGGCATGGACGTAACATGGCACTTGGTGCCTAACTACATGTGATCGAGCAAACCAACTGCTGGCTGAATCAACATGTGATATCATAACATACTAAATGCGGAAGATAAACTAACACATGCTGATATACTGAAAGTCTGCATGATATAAATCAAAGTGCCGAAATACTAAAACAAGTCTGAAACATATATGTAGCCAACATTGCTTAACATGAAAAGCCTGAGACTCTGTCTAACTGTTACTCTAGTCTATGAAGCCTCTAATGAAGTACTGAAAACACTGACTGCCTGTAAATACTGAAAGACCGTAAAGTAATGATAATGTCCCGAAAGAACTGGGATCACCAAACAGCTGGTACGAGAATCCTAGCGCTCTGAATCATCAACCTATAAATCATTACCTGCATCGTGAGATGCAGGACCCGGGCAAAAGGGACGTCAATACATTTGAATTGCACTGGTATGTAAAGCAACTGAAAGAAAGAATTATAAATGCTGAAACTGAAACTAAGCTGATAACTGAGAATTGATAATTGGTACTGAAATAATATTATTGAAACAGAAACTGAAATGATAACTGATAACTGATAACTGAATTGATAACTGATAACTGATAACTGGTAACTGGTAACTGAAATGATAACTGATAACTGAACTGAACAAAGGAAGTAAGGATATGAATACTCCCTCTTCTGAATGATGAACAACTCGTTTATCTGAATAAGCTACGGCCTCGGGCCCAAAATATATGTGCACAAGCTACGGCCTCAGGCCCAAGTATACGTATACATAACTACGGCCTCAGGCCCAAAAATGCATAAAGCATAAACTACGGCCTCATGCCCAAACATGCATAAAGCATAAACTACGGCCTCAGTCCCAAACATGCATAAAGCATAAACTACGGCCTCGGGCCCAAGTATGCATAAAGCATATAAACTACGGCCTCAGGCCCAAATACAGGTGTTCAACATTCAGGAACTAAGAATCAAACTGCAATACATGATAGTGAAATACTGAATCACACTGAGTTACATGATACTGGAATACTGGATCACACTGAGTTACATAATACTTGAATACTGAATAGGACTAGACTGAGACATGTATTCTTGAACTGATTATGAACACTGAAACTTCAACTGTTTATGGCACACTGAGTAATCTATATTAAGACTCGGGGGCATCAAACGCAAGTCTATATTGAATACGCACTGAGCTCACAACGTTCAGAATGAAAGTGGCGAACGAGTTATGAAGCTAGAGAATAGTAGCTCTACAACTATTCAAGGAACTAGGCGTAACTATATTTCTGAGGCAATTGGTAACGTCGTAAAAGAAACGTAGTGTAGGGAGAATCATTAAAATTCCCAAACATAGAGAGTTAGCCTCACATACCTTAACTTCCTGCTCTTGAGCGTAATACAACATTCGCCGACCCTTTCAACTTTAATCTATATCAATACAAGTCAAAGGAATTCCATATTAGTAATAACACTCATGTTTTAGTCACTTAAGCATTTTCTCAAACACTTGGTGATATAAAGCTTAGTAGTCCTTATTAATGGTGTTTCTACGCCCAAGAAGCCATTCTCTTGATCCTAGATAAATTCTAAAATCTCAAATTTCTTATAATCAATGTCATTCTTCTTCACCCATAAGATAAACAACACCCTTAACCAATAATCAACAATCAACAAGCCAAACCTATAATTGTTCATGCTTTTCTATAAAACCCATCAACTCATATCTCATGAACTAGGGTTTAAAATCATTAAACCAATGCTAGAACCAATTAGAGGGTGAAGACATTACCTTCTTGACGTTCAATCTTCTTGAATTCGAGTTCTAGGGTTCCTTCTCTCAACAATGATGCCCCAATCAAATATCTAATGATTTGGAGGAATTACCCATGTTAATAAGATGTTAGAAAATTGAAATTACCTTAGAACCACCATTAGAACTTGCCTTGGATGGTGGAGGGACCCTTAGGGAGTTAGGTTTTGAGAGTTCCCCTTTCTAAAGCAAGTTTTTATCTTTTGGAGCTGTAGGGGACGAAGTAGGGCTTTAAAACGACCCCCCACAAGCGCGCCCGCGCACCTGTAGACCTGACCGCGCTACTGACCGCGCAAAACGGCAGTAACACTGCCTCAAAAGAAGCGCGGTCGTGCTAGGCGCGCGCTCAGGGCGCGCATATCGCATACTGTTCTGTAAAACGCGTATAACTTTTTGCGCAGAGATCCGTTCGGGCTCCATAATATATCGTTGGAAAGATATTTCAAAGGCCTACAACTTTTATGCTTTGAATTTTCCAAAACACCTTACATATTAGCACTAAACCCTGCTAGAAAACAGACCTTCTGCAAACTTAGTCGATTTTGTCAAATCTTATGCACCTCACTTTCCATCTTGATTTTGAAACAACTATTTTACCCATAATCATCCCGATGGGACTTCACATCTCCAAAATATAACCTTACTACTCCTTTAACTCATTCATACCTAAGCCAAATTTACGGGGTGTTACACGGACTGCGCACACAAATCGAGGTGAGACAAAAAGGAGGTTTTAAGGCCTCGGATCATAGAATTTATTTCTAAAACAAGTGATGACCTATTGGGTCATCACAGAGACATGCGTAAATTTTTCTTTTTTACACTTTTGAATCACCTAAAAGATAATAACCGTCCTTAAAAAGAGGAATTAGTAACCTGAAAATAAGTCCTGCTTCAACAGATTTAAATATACTAATAGTACAAAGATTTTTCCACTGTCAATCTATGTATATTCAATCCAAAGATTTAATATATATAAGTTTTTGGATTAAAATATTGGAATAAGTATGGACATATAATGATGAAGAGCCAACAAGGGTAATAAAACCATGCAAAGTAGCAAAGCCGACTTAGGGAGAATTTTGTACTGGCCATTGAAGATATGATTTGGTGCTAAAATGTCAAAAGATATGAGAAATAGTTATGCAATTTTCCCAAATATATAATCCTACGAAAGTACTTGATTTTGGTAACTAACACAAACTAATGATTAATTTACCAAGTTATTTCCTGATTATTTTTTTTTATAATTTAGAAGCACACATTGAAAATCTCGAACTACTTACCTTTTACATCTTTAATTGAACACCCTCACTATGATAAATGATCAATGAGCAACCATACGGTAAAGTCAGACTTTTAGAAAACAAATAAATTGAGTCATTGATGACAAAAAATCAAAATTAAAATAAGCACCTACACAAAAATGCAAAATAATAGGAAATCAATAAATTCAACAAATGATTTTAGATAATCTCTTTTAGAGCGTTAACAAAATTTGGTTTTAGATAATCTCTACAACTCTCCATTGCTTCAATGACAAAAGATATAAAAGATAAATGTTAGGTGATTACTTCACATTTACTTGAATTTTGGTGAGTAGAGTGTTCCAGTATCCATACCGGTGAGAAATAATAGATACCCTATAGAATAGTCAAGGTGTGCTCGCAAACTGACCTAAATAGCACTTACTCCCTCTGTTTCAATTTATGTGAACCCGTTTGACTGGGCACGAAGTTTAAGAAAAATGAAGACTTTTGAAATTTGTGATTCTAAACAAGTTAAAATGGGGCCCAGAGTATTTGTGTGGTTATAAAAGCTTCTCATTAAGGGTAGAAATGTAATTTTAAGCTAAATTGTTTACAAATTTAGAAAGGGATCATTCTTTTTGGAACGGACCAAAAAAGAAATAGGTTCACATAAACTAAAACGAAGGGAGTACTAATTTTTTCAAAAAAGAAAAAGGGAACATATAGCCCAAGGGCCACATTTGGCATGTCGTCTTCATTTAAAGATGCTAAGCCTAACAGCCACACACGGATAAAGCTTTAAATGATAATGAAAACGATAGAGAATTGACTTCTATTGACTTATGTGACCAGCAAGAATCCAGAATTTAAAATTTATGGGTTTAATTTTTAAAGTTTTTACTATTGAATCCGTTATATTTGTTAAATTATGGGTTCATATTTACTATTTGTTGTATTTTTCATAATTTTTACACATAAATTTATGATCTACACTGAAAGTAATGTGTTCAGATGAATCCGATAATGTAATCGCCCTTTTAGTGGGACACTTCCCCACTACATGTATCTACAAGAGAAATATAGCTATTAATTAAATTCAATAGTTAACAGCAGTGTATATATATATATATATATATATATATATATATATATATATATATATATATATATATCAATAACTACACCTCAATCCCATACTCAACTGAGATTAGTTGTATGAATATTCGTTGACCATATGACTCTATCAAGCTCATCTCAGGCCAACATTATGCAGACAAGAAAGCGAATGATGCTAAGTCAACATACATACATAGCCAGGGGCGGTTTATAGTCCAAATCATGGGTCACGTGAACCCAGGATCTCTCTGTCAAAAAGATTAGTCTAATATTATCTATTGGTACCCATGCTCCAAAAAGACTGAATGGTGCGCTAGATTGAATATTAGGTTATTTATCTAGAGGAATATGGGCCGATTCCCACTTAGTACTTTTTTTTTGTTTTATCCTTTTTAGTGGTGCACCCATATTGAAGAAATCCTAAATCCGCCTCTCTACATAGAGGAAAGCAAGTAAATGGCTCGAGAAATAAAAGAGCATTAAGGTTAAATAGCATCTTGATTCAAATAACACTATGTACATATATTTGTTTTCCTCTATTTGGTTATTATCTAATAAAAGGAGAGGCCAAAAGAGAGAACATAACTACTCTATATACTGCTATATATAGAGAAAAAATTACATAGCAAAGGATTTATTGATTATAATGATGTTTCATTCCTTCGTCTGCGCATCCGAGCACCCCAAGACATCTTGTTACCAGAATCGTTATGCATGTTTCTTCTCTTTAACTCTGATAACTGAGATTGCCAACAATTTTTCCATTCATCTTTGTCTGCCATTGACTAAAAATGTATAAAGAAACCATATTAGCAAAGACAACAGAAGATATCTAGAATAGGAGAGTCATGAATATATCATTGTACAATTAAAAAATTCAATTACATGAATGCAAAAGTTAAGAGGCGGATGCACGACTTAAACTTTATGGATTCAACTTTTAAAATTTTTAGCATTGAACTCATTATATTTTAAAGTTATAAGTTCATATCTATTATTTTTGCAATTTTAATGAATTTTAACTCAGCGTTAAAAGTTATGGATTCAATTGAACCCATCGATAATGCACTACATTCGCCCCCTGCGAAAATTGTGATTCTCGAAACAAATAATGTTGTAGAGATGCACAAAGGTCACGGATTCAAGTCGTGAAAGCAACACTAATGCTTATATTAGGGTAGACTGTCCATATCACATCTTTTGAGATGCAACCTTTTTCTGATCCTACGTAAACGCGGAATAAATTATGCACTAGGATACCCTTGGGATGCACAAAGGAGTAACTGGTCAAAGTCCTAACCCAAGGGTAATTTTATGGTAAAAATTTAGACCTTTTCTTTTGGAAAATTTGGACACATGGGTCCACCTCATCTGTTGCATGTTGTGGCGGAGCCACATTGAGACACCCTTTCGCCAGAAAAAATTATACTATATTGGTAGCTAATTTTTTTTTTAAAATTTTATGTATATTTAATATACATCGACTCCCCTTTATTTTTGATGTATCCAATTGTTTATATTTTGACATTCCTTGGCGAAAATTCTGGCTCTGCCACTACTGCAGGCACGAAGAAAATTACTAAATACAAGGGTATAAAAGAACCAATAATTTAATAGAAGCAAAAATAGAGCAATTCGAATAGTACAAGAACAAATTTAAACCTTTTTCCCAAATATTAAATTAAATTAACTAAAAAACATAACAAGCAAAATAAAATAAAATAAAATAAAATAAAAAAACCAACCTCATCATTTTGGTTCCTCCTACGAGCAGAGAATGAGAAAGCAAAGTGAAGGCCTTTAGACATGTCTTTATCATACATAGCCTTTAACTTAGGATCCGATAATGTTTCATAAGCTTCTTGAACTTGAATAAACCTTTGGGTATATTCTTCGACCCGACCCGGAGGTGAAACATCCGGGTGGTACTTTCTAGCTAACTGCTTGTACGCTTGTTTAATTTCAGAAAAAGATTCAGTTTCTTGAATACCCAAAAGTTCATAAAAGCTTTTGGGCTCAGTAATTTCAATCACATTGTTTAGCTTTGAATGTACTTTTAAAGAACCAATTTGGGTTTTTCGAATATGTGGATTTGATGGGAAAAATAGCTTAGGATTTGGGTCTATTGGGATTCTTAGATACATCTTTTTTTACTGTGTGTGTGTGTGAGAAAATGGATTGACTATTGAGGTGTGAAGTTTTTGAGATAGGGTGAAGGGGTATATATAAGGAAGAGTGAAGGGTATTTGTGTCATTTTAACTTCTTTTATTTTTTTATTTGATTTTTTAATATATTAACGGCTAAGCGATTTCATAATCTATTTGAAGCACTTTATAAGTTGTATTGCAAGTTGCGACAAGTATTTGCAGAGAGTTACTCCATCCGTTTCAATTTAGATGACACACTTTCCTTATTAGTTTGTTCCAAAAAGAATGACACATTTCTACAATTGAAAATATTTAACTTTAAACTCTTCATTTTACCCATTTTACCCTTAATGAAAAGTTTTTATAACCACACAAATGTCATGGTCCCACAAAGCTTTTACCCTTAAGCTTTTAAGACCATATGTTTTAAAAATCTTCCTTTTTTCTTAAACTCCGTGCTGAGTCGAACTACCTCATCTAAATTGAAACGAATGGAGTATTGGTTATGCCGAGCTTTTCATAGAAGTACAAGAACATATACTCACTATTCACTTCCTACAATAAGTGATTTCATATAACAAGCGCGTTGAGCTCGGCTCGAGTCGATGCTACAATAAGCTCGAATGGACTCCTTTGACTCAATGTACCAACCTAAATAGAAGTCGCGGGTTTCGTGAAACTTCTAATTATAGATACAAAAATGTGTCGCTCACTTCCTGTCATTTGGTTTGAACTTTTGGATAGATTATTTGGAATCGACAACCATAACTATACCTTTCCCTAACAGGGTCAGAATTGACTTACATCCGTTCTCTAACTCATTTTTTTTTTTTTTTGCTTCATTCTCGAGCTCCTTGGTCAATAGGTCCGGGGGAGGAACTGAAAGCCACTTGACTGTAAGGAGAAGATTAGAGTAGAATTTCTAGTATTCTTGAAACCCATCCAAACACGACTTCTATACAGTTCACATTTTTCTTTTTGCTTTTTTTTTCCTGGCATATTCACATTTTCTGAACAACAACAACAACCCAGTAAAATTTTACCAGTGGGGTCTGGGGAGGGTAGAGTGTACACAAACCTTACCCCTACCCTAGAGGGGGGAGAGAGGTTGTTTCAGGGAGACCCTCAGCTCAGATACAATAGATCTGCGACAACAAAATTCAAAAAATAATCATCAACGTGAGAAACAACAAATAAATGGAAAAGCAGTAACACAAATATTATGCAAAGGTGTGAAACACAACATAAATCGCTAGCAATGCTAGACAAAACACTATCATACTCGTCGGTACAAAGAGGGAAACATGGACAAAGAGGAAAACCGCTCGACTACCCTTTAACCTACAACCCTAATGATCGACCTCCACACCTTCCTATTAAGAGTCATGTCCTCTAAAATCTAAAGCCGCGCCAATATTCACATTTTCTAAAGTATGTCAAATATCATGTCAAAACTCTATGTAAATGCAAGATTTTTGTTCGTTCAGTTTTTACTAGAGTTGAAGTGTTAAAACTACAAGAAACCAATTTTTTTCCTACCTAAAATTTATTATTTCTGTTCCCCTAATAAGTAAATTGTAAGACAATAGATGTAAGTGGAGTATTAATTATCTATGACCAATCACTTGATTTTGACACGTGTGATATTATCTTTTACCTCTACAACTACAAAATTCAATAGATAACTTTAGTATGAGCACTTTATAATCGTTTAGAAATGTTGGTCAATATTGGTGTCTTGGTAAGAGTTATTAAAATAAATTTTCTCTGTAAATACTAAGAGAAAGTCAATTGTGGTTTTGTACCTTATATTTCCGACAACATCTCTCTGTCTTTTCTACGTGGATGGATAAGATCTCACTCCTCTAAAATGCAAAACAAAATACAAAATTTTGAACATGATTGTGCTTCATGTTTGTATTATTTTAAAAGTTTTCACTTGTTTAGGCATATTTTAACCCGACTATGGTTTATGACCAATTAAATTTATTTAAAATCAGCTTGATTTTGCCTTCTGTGATATTTTAAAATTCAAGAGATAACTTTTTATGTTGTTTGGAAATATTGGTCCATATTGATGACTTAGCAAGATCTATTCACCCTTATTCAAAATTTCTGATTCGAACTTTGATAATAGAGAAATTTCTTATAAGAAGCGTTTTTTTTTCTTTAATATGTCCTTTGAGGTGTGACTATAATTAGTAGCGCTAGTTAGTGAATTTGGTATGTGTGACTATAATTAGTAGCGCTAATTAGTGATTTTGAATACCAAGTAATTATACCCTAAAAAAATTATGATTTTAATAAATTTCGCACCAACCTAAATATCAATAGAGAGTAAATTGTACCTAGTACTGTATTTTTTGTGTTGGGTGTGCGAACAAAGTTTCACATTGGTAGCTGAAAAGATTGGGAGTTTACAATGTAGGAATTTCTTAAGGAAAACTTACACAAATGTTCCAAATAAATCTCAACTTACCAACCTCTAGCCATTAGTCATAGACTTACCAAAACTAGCCAACAAAAATTGAAAAACCAAATAATAGGGTTCTTTCTATCAAAGAATCACATGCAAAAATCACCTTCCATATTTTTAAGCGTGATTAGCAACATTAGATACAAGACGGAAAGGAAATTTCATGGACGGGGTAGCAAATAAGGTGATGAAATCCAAAAATCTATACAATATTCCAAAAATCTAAACAAAAAAGGAATTTTTTCAATGGGTATAGTTGAAATTCATTGAAAATATATAGATAAGTCAATATACAAAATTTGAGGAAGATTGGAGGTGATTTGGACTGGTTTTGTATCAAAATTCGTAATTAAATCGAGTTTAAAAAAGTCTTCTGCGACACATGTATCAAACATGTATCACGCATGTATCTCACACACAGGTATACATGAATATACATATGATACACAATTGATACAAATATGATACATATGTGATACACAAATGATACACAGTGTGATACACATATCATTTTTTTTCATATTCAGCTTTTACTTCGAATTTTCAATTCAAATCACCTCAAAACTTCACCAAATCATCCCAAAACTGAGATTCAAGCTCCTTAAGTTGTGCCCAATCTATTCTAATAACACCCACTCAAAACAAAGCAAAAATTTGATATTTTTTTGCTACAAATAGCTAATTGGCTAATTTGGCTAATATTAGTAATATTTTATCAATTGGCCAATTTTTGTAATGAGCTACTTATAAATGGACATAACTGGTAATTTTCCATTTCTTAATAGTGTGAGGCCTTTTGAGATAACCGTACGGACTTGAACCAACATTTTGTTTTTGGACAATGATTATGACATAGGAAACTTAGTGGCCACACTCTCTCTGTCTTTTTTACGTGGATGGATAAGATCTTTACTTATCCAAATTGCAAAACACAAAAGCCAAAATATAAAAGCTGCCAGTTGACAAAGAAATATCCGTGTGCAACTTAGTCTGGATAAGACCGTAACTTATAAGACAGTTAATTTTTATTTTTTTATTTTATGTATACAGAAATTATATGCCATGATAATATATATATATATATATATATATATATATATATATATATATATATTTTCCTATATTATTTTATATATATAAGAAGCACGGTAGAAACAGGTGAAGCAGAGACGTCTTCGTCAACATGTCAGCTGCCACCATTATATATTTACCCCTGTTTTTCGGTATTATTACATTGACCACCATCACACAATTTGATAAATAAAAGGCGAAATACATAAACGGCCCCTTCAAGTTGTCCTCAACGGTCAGTCAGACACCTCAACTAAACCCTTTACCATTTAGACACTTCAAGTGTCCATTAACCAGATCAAATAAACACTCAAGTGCAACAGATCATACACGTGAATTACACTCGCTAATGAAGTGTCAAATGATCCAATTAATGAATGACACGTGTAATGTTTAAATAGAAACTTGACACATATAATAACATAAATGAAAATGCATTTAAGAAATTAAAAAAAAATCCTTTTCCCTAACTTTTTTTACCAAACAACGCAACCCCTCCTCCCTCCCCCCAACCCCCAACCAACTTCATCTTCTTCTTCCACCAAAATCAGCTGCCACCCCACCCCCTCATCTCCCCTCTCATCATCTTCTTCTTCCGCCCAAAACCAGCGCCACCTCACCCCCTCCTTCCCCCTCTCATCATCTTCTTCTTCCGCCCAAAACCTGCGCCACCCCACCCTCTTCATCTTCTTCCTATTCCTTCAAACCAGGGCACCCATCTCGCCGGAAAATTACTCTCCGAGCTCTGGAGATTATAGGCAGTGGAATTTCCAACATCTGACGTCACCATTCCTTTGACTCTTTTTTTTTCTTCTTCTTCATAAATCCCTTCTTTCCCCATTCCCCCACCTCCCATTCTTCTCTATTTCTATCTCTCTCTAAAAACTTGACCCACCAAACAAACAGATAGTGCGCATTTGCAATTTTCTCTCTAAATCACATACAGTTCAAAGGCAACAAAAGAAATGCGGAGGAACGATTTGTACATATCGGTGCCGAGTTTCTTCGGGTGTCCGATTTCTCTCGACGTGATGAAATCGCCGGTGAGTTTATGTACCGGCGTCACCTACGACCGGAGTAGCTCTGGAGGTTATAGGCTGGAGTATGTCGGAGGGGGTGGATTATTGGCGGAAGGAAGAGGTTTGTTAAAGATGGAATATTTTGGGAAGAAGTAAAATTAATGTGTGGAAAATAAAATATAATGGGACCCACATAAAATAAAGTTAAATTTAAAAGAAAAAAGAAAAAAACCTTAATTTTGAGGGTTTCACGCGCTTAGAATTAAGTGTAAAGCACACACTTTGCCATGTCAGCGTGAAGGGTTTGCGAGGTCGCACTTTAGTGGAGAAGAAGTGTCTAAATGGTAAAGGGTTTAATTGAGGTGTCTGACTGACCGTTGAGGACAACTTGAAGGGGCCGTTTATGTATTTCGCCTAAATAAAATAAAATTTTTAGGTAATTTCATAGCTTACTTTCTCTCCACAAATGCATAGTACAAAAGGGTGGGACCCAC